ACTTATGTTTTTTTTACTGTCGCAAGCAGTCGGAAGAATGCGACTCTCCATACAGTTCAAAGCAGGGTCAAGCGTGTTGATGCGATCCGGGACCCCCATTTACGACCCCCCCCCTTGAAGGTACCCATCCGACGACCTCCCCGCCCCATCTACCCCCCCCCCTCCATTTACCCTCTTACCTCCCCTGCCCACATTCCTGCAACCTGCATAAACGAATGTCAACCTCAAAAAACATCTGCGTGGAACTTCAGTGAGGTTCCGGAAGCAGAATTTCTAAGCCAATAGGTGCACCCAGCATGTGTAGCGCACATACACACCTTCAATAGTGTTTGAGACTCTGCAAGTTTTTTTTTTGAATTTTCAGACGTACTTCAGGCCAGCAAATTCGGTTCCCGTAGGCGAAACAAATTTTTGCACGGAGAAGAAAATGACATTCTTGAACAACAAAAGATGTTTTCGACTAAGAAGCTTACTTCCTACCTCTTTCACATTTTTTTCCGCGAAAAAAACCGCTTGAGCGCCGTCCAGAACGATGTCAAAAGCGTGCATGAGCACGGTAGTTTGAAATTTCGTAAATAGGACCAGGAAAAGACTGAGAGGCTGCAAAGCACAGGTTCTGTAGCACAGTGCCCAGGCTATTCATAGAAAAAGTTTCAGCTCTTGAGGACCAGTAAGCTCGAAAAAATTCAGATGCGACTCTCGCAAATTTAGATGCGATCCTAAAAAGCAAAAACTGGGATTTTTGAGCCTAAAATTTTGTAACTCATCGGGGAAGTTATGAAACGGCCTGAAATTTTTAGGATAGAAAGTAGGGGGATGGCCTCGTACTATAGCAACATTGCAGCCAACAAGCTTCAATAGCTCCGGAAAAATTTAGATGCGACCCAGATACGACCCCCCTTTTGTCATTTTTTGCCACCATACATAAAATCATAAGAAAATCCGAAAGCCATAAGGTAGGACCAAATTTTGCATAAGTGTAGTAGAGCACCTTTCAAGTACATATAAATTGTAAGGACCGTATGAAAAGCATTACTAACAGATTTACAAATTATTGATTATTAGCGTTGATAGAGATATGCGCTTTTGTCGAGCGTGCGAGTCTTCAGTGAGCCTTCGGAAGCAGGATGTCTACACCAATTCGGTACATCCAACTACTTTATCACACATACATGTATTTAGTAGCATTCGAGCTTCTAAAAGTGTTTATTTTTTTAATTTTAGTCATGCCAGCAGGGTTCGAACCCCGTTTGCTACAATATTTTGCGGGAGAAATAGTGATTTCCATTAAAAAAATGAACCAAGTCATAATCTTTCAAAAGTGCAGCAAACGAAGCGAATTTCTACTTTTGCAAATGTTTTCAAATGATTGTTCACGTTTTTATTTGATACATTGGACACGGCATTCCATGAATTTATTGTTAAGAACATGTAATAATTATTTGCCATCCGATTACCTTCCATGCTTACGGTTTTTCAATCCAAACTACCTCCTTTACGACCCCCCCCCCCCTCACCGTAGGTACCCGCTTACGACCCCCCGTTGCGACAGTCGCATCACACGCTTGACCCTGGTTCAAAGGTATACCGGTTGCAAAAGATGGCATTACCCAGTTTTGCGAAAAAAAAAACGCGGACGAAGTGAGCTTGATACTCAGCATTTGTCTCTGCAACAAAGTCGAATAATCTGAATACGGAGTACATTCGAATAGGAATTCGAATAAACATTCGAATAAAACATTCGAATAAAATCTATTCGAAACCCCGTTTTTTGATTATTCGAGTTTTCGAATAATATTCGAAACCCTGTTTTTTGATTATTCGAGTTTCGAGTTTCATTCGAAACCCCGTTTTCTCAATTATTCGAGTTTCGAATATTATTCGAAAATGGAAGAACTCCGAATATCGAATTTCGAATACGAATATATTCGAATGTTTTATTCGAATGATCGAATTTCTATTCGATTCGGACCCAAGTATACACTGTAGTATTGAACACTGCAGCATTGTGGAGCAGTGATTGCTAGGCACGATCGAGAAAAAAGCCCAACGTTTTGGAAACAGGATGCTGCGTTTCTCATGTCGCTGATGCATCAATCTATAACGGTAGAGCAGTAGAGCACAAACGATGGTTCGCCCAGAAAATGCAGAATTAGGGCCGCATGCACTAACCTCCCCGTTGGGGAGGGGATCGCAGCTTAAAAGAAAGCTTTATATTTCGAAACTCCAGATACCTGGATTTCACATTGTGTACCTATCCTTAAGTACTCCTGTTACCCTTCACTATGAATATGTTGAACAGGAGCGAGAAGCTATACAAACCGCATTTTCCAGCTTTAGTATGATCCCTGATGATCGCCGGCGCTTTTCTTTAAAGTCATTTTTCTTTCTCCGAAGTTAACGAAAACCTTCCAAAGTTGTGAACATCTAACACAACAGTGCTAAGCATGTTGCTGATAAGAACAAATGAGTTTTTGAAAAGTCGAATTTTTCGGTAAACCTCAAATTTCGACCTGTGGATCATCGAAAATTTCATGACTTCAAAACATCATTTGCTCTTATCAGCAACATGCTTAGCAATGTCGAGTTAGATAATCTGCACAACTTTGGAGGTTTTTCGTTAACTTCGGAGAAAGAAAAATGACTTCAAAGAAAAGCGCCGGGGATCATCAGGGATCATACTAAAGCTGGAAAATGCGGTTTGTACATGTTCTCGCTCCTGTTCAACATGTTCATAGTGAAGGGTAGTAGGAATACTTACGGATAGGTACACAACGTGAAATCCAGGTATCTGGAGTTTCGAAATATAAAACTTTCTTTTAAGCTGCGATCCCCTCCACGCGGGGATGTTAGTGCATGGTACGATGACATGTATCAGGTCGTCCCGAGATTAATTTGATTTTCGAACAAACTTCGTACTACACAAAACAAAGTTCCTCAACAATTTCATTGGCATTCGATTCAGATCTTCGCCTCCCTTCCAAAAGTCATTTGCATGCGATTGAACCAAAGAGCTCTTCTAAAGTCATCAAAATTTGCAACCATTGTTGGCTGTCATAGTCAAGTTTCACAAATTTTCCAAATCCTTACATCTGCCTCGCGAAGATATTCGGAGAATTGAATAGAGAGAATCAATAGGACAGAAATCTTATTTCAGGATTTCGTCAGTTTTCAGCAGTGTTGCAAAGTGTTTTTTAGGTACTGGCGTTTCGCAATGAGTGAATGATAGTTGCATGTTCATCCATAAACTTCCTTGTTTGAAGCAACCCTTGACTTTGTCAAATTTTGATTACGAGATTTCTTAGTTTCAATCGCTTCCAGGAATTGGTTTGTGGGGTTTGGAGAAAGCATGGTTTACTTGCCATCAAAAAGCCAAGATTTATTGAGAAATAACATGTTCGAATAAATAGTTGGTCAGATGATTCAATGAAGATGTAGTTACTGGTAGACCTAATACGCACGTTACTTGACGTCCGTCGAAAGTGTGAAACAAAGATCTCAAAAGGGTTGCAAAGAAGTATGGTACGCAGTTAACTGGAAACCACCCCTCTTTTTGAAAAGAATTTGAAGCCTTGAAGGAGATTGCTAGAAAGACCATGAAAAGCTGCATTGATTGCCGCTAAGATCATATATAAAACTTCATTCTAATCGATGTGATGATCGATCGAATTGCCGAATTACTTTTGGAACGACCTAATGTAGGGTATTTGAGGAGTATCTGTTCTAAAATACTTCCAGTTCAAATTTGAACCTATTTTTGTTCTACTGTGCTCATCAGACATAGAAACCATCAGTTCAGTGAAAGTCAGGCTTACTTGCGGTTTCTTTGACTTTTTTATTGGAACAAAACACAATCAGTAGAGCTTTTCATAACTCTTTCCTTGTAATGCTTGCTACAAAGAAGAAAACATAATTCACAGAACCGTCGCACACCGTCTAAAAGCCCTTAGTTTTGTACATAAGCTTTTATTTTCTTAGAAATGAGATCGTTGTAAAATAACGTAAGTGTAAAAAGAAATTTAGTTCCAAGATATTCTCGTCAAACATTCAGATTTAGACTTTAATATGTTATCCTCACTTTACAGAAGTGTAGAATTTTTGAAAACGAAGAGAATGAGAGTCAGAAAATTGTGCTACAAAAACAATCAAAATAAGACTTCCAAAAACTTTCGAAGTAAAACATTTGACGCAACAATGCGACACCATTGTCTGCTTTAGTCTAGAGACATAAAAAATTTTCGTTTGCAAGCTAGTGGAGAACTTTGGTTATATAAAGAAAGTGTAGACTTGGGACCTTTGGTAGCAAGGAAAACGGAAAGTTTTTCCCTTTTTCCGGCGTTGAAAGTAGAACAAAAAAAAATAAAGCCCTCTTTCGTCTTTTTGAGGGAGCTGAAAAAATTGGTAATTTAAAGTACCCTAAAGCAAAAAATTTTCTCTGTTCAGTAGTTAGTAGCAATTACCATACGATATTTAAGGCAGGAATATCGCTTGAACTCTATACATAGAAGGGAAAGGTTACATTAGGTCTTAGCTGTGAAGGAATCAGGTCATTTTAAAAACCATTTATTCTATAGAAATTTTCACGAGATGTATGACAGACCCTTTGGAGGACTTTTTGGGCCGTCGACAATTTGCTTTACTGGCATGCTTGGGAGAATATAAGGGATAGTGTATTTTTCTTTACTATAATTTACTAGCGAAATCGCAGTAACGTCAGTACAGCGGTTGATGTGCTATCACATTGAGATCGACTAGCTTTGAGATGTTAGGTTAATGGTTCTTGTGCTGATGGAAAGGGTTTTTCAGATTTTGCGACGAAGACACATTGAAATGTGTGTTTTACACTTTCACGTAAATTATAGCCATCTTTCTTTCGCTCATATCATTACCATCTCATGGGAGCGCGAAGGATATTTGCACATAAGTTTTGAATAAAAGGCCCTAGCTTGTGCTAGCGTGGTTTTTTTCTTATTTCTTTTTTTTCTGCTTTTCTGGAATCTTGCTGCAAATTTTTGCGGTTACTCATTACAGGATGCAACCAATCATTATTCTGGTCGTGATCGCGACACTCATGTGCACTGTCGCAGGAAAACCAGGCGATGTCTTCCCTCAGAAGGCTGTTTGGGAAAGCATCGACTTACAAGAGGTGCTCAAGGGATTACCGGAGGAAGCCAAGCAGGAATGGAAAAAGATAGACCGCAACACGGATGGAACACTAGAAAAACGAAGAGAAGCGAAAAAAGAATGGGCAAAGAAATACGGTGTTGAGGTGAGGGGACATAATGTGTGATATACTAGCGGAATGCGCAACTGACTGAACGAGTCATGAAGACATGAATTTCAAAAAAATAAACAAAAGCAAAATTTTGGTGCAGATCCTCCTGTTTCGGTCTCATTACCGACTTTGAAAAATAAGCTTCAAACTTCAAATTTCAAGTGATCTATATTTTGGATGCTTTCAAACTCCAATTTGTTGAGACCATCCACGATGATGGGCGAGCTATAGATAAGCAGCCATAGTACTTTCGTGCTTCAGAGCGCATTTCCGCAATTGATTACTTGGTTAGGGACACCTGCTACCGTTAGAATCTCTGCTTGTAGCGTAATGCCTTTGATGTTTTTCGCATGATCCAATGAAATTTAGAACCAATGGAACGATTTTGTCAAAAAAAGAGCAAATATGGTCAGCAAAACTGCCGAGCTGTTGGCAAAGCTGCCAGAGCTGTATCAAAAATATCGTGACACGTGGAAAGGCGACGAACTCTGGAAAAATATAGAGAAAAAACAGAAGAAGCTTGCCGCCAAGTACAAGAAGGTTAGCTGGCTAGGTCATCTCAATGTGATAAGATTAATTCGATTTTATCTTATTCAAGGAGTTCATGCTCATGAACATCGCGAAGGAAATGGTGGAAAGAGCTGAGCATAAGATTAAGTACTAAGATTGGGACGATTTGAAATTCAGGGCTTATCCTGTCATTGCTGTGATATAATTCCAGGCATTCTCTTTCCGAATAAAGCATTGGTTACATTTGTCTTCTGCAGCAAACATATGAGAAAAGATGAGCGCAGCTTCAGCTGACGGTTTGCTGCTTTTATCGTTCTTTTCTGCTTTTCACTCTCTACCAATTTTCAAACAGCGTGGGTTGTGGGCGATCATATTTCCCAGCATTCTTTCAATAGCATTATTATGCTTATAGGCAAGCTCACTTTCTTTGCATCGAAACTGCACCAAAAAATTGAATTTTGAACTAAATATGAGCGATTAGCGAAGATAGGAGAAAATACGACAATTTCGTTCCTCCTTGACAAACAATATACAAGCTTACTAATTTGCAAAAAAAAAAACTAGTATGTTTGTATTAAAAGCAAGTAAATAGTCACAGAACATAGTCTTACCAGCAACAGTCTCTTGTAACATTCAAAATAAGTCGAAGCAGATAATGAAGGGGTTGGAGCCATTAGAGAATTGCATTCTCAGCATAGACAACTTTCATGACCCGGTGCATGTCACCAGTATGGGCGACCTTTGATATCCAGTAGCATATCATTTAGAGAGAACAGAAAACCGCAGATTTACAGAGCTGAACGCAAAACATTGCACATCACCATTTTATATTATCCGGAAGCTGCCACTCAGGAGTAGCCTTGTGCCTTTTTCGAAGACCAACAATGCTGTTGCTAACACTGCCTAATGAATATTTCTAGAAATAGTGTCGTCTTCTTTTCTCTTCTTTGCTTTTTGTACACACTTTTCAAAACATCATTTTGATTGTTCAGTTTTGTTAGGCAAGTGGCGGTCCCATTACTCTCCCCCCCCCCCTCCACTCTGATAGGAGAGGGATGTAAACGGGACACCGGACTAACTAACATTATACGTATCCTAGTGTTCAAATTACAAACCAAACTTTGAGAGCATCAGTCATAAATTTACCGCGAAAGATGTTTTCGAATGGTAATTGTAGACTGCTAGTATAGATGCAATTTCGTTCAATTTACGTTTTACTGTATCAAGCTCTCTCAATATTCGAATCTGTGTAAACTTCTTCTCTGATTATTCGGAGATTCGAGAGCGTTTCATTGTGCATCAATTTGATTTAGTCAACGTTATGATCTGACAAGGGAAGTCACTTAACTTAGGTCGGGCTTTTGAAATGAGACACATATGGTTGGAATCAGCTTGAAACGCTGATTTCAAATCTGCTTTCCTTAGCTGCGCACATTTCTCTGAAGCGAGTTATGAGCTTTTTTAGTATGTGTCATTGACATACAACTGAATATGGAAAGAAGGTCTTTAGATGAAAATCTGCCCAAAAAGTGGTGGAAAATCAAAATAACATTAAATTGAGTCATTTGGCTTTGATAGGGTATAATATGCATCTGAACCACTACCTAGAAGATGATACCGTAGCATGCCTAAGTCGGTCAACAAGCAAAATTTGCTCACGAAAAAGCTCATAACTCGTTTCAGAGGAATGTTTCGCAGCTAAGGAGAGCAGATTTGAAATCAGCGTTTCAAGCTGATTCCAATCATATGTGTCTCATTTCAAAGCCCGACCTAAGTTAAGTGAATTTCCTTGTGAGATCCAATCAACATACTTCAAATAAGTATCCAGAAAGATGTAAGCTGTGGTTTTGAGAATTTGAAATATTTATCTTATATTATATGGCTAAATCATTCGCATAACTCTCATGTCAGCATAGCATAACAAGTTCTCGAATGAGCAAATAGAACTGTCCGGAGAAGTTATCGTTTTTTGAGTTTGTAAGCACGATCAATATTAAATGCTTGAAGTTCTATAATTCAGCAGCAGTCATCTGCTTCAAGGTCAAAGAACTCAAAAAGTTTTTCAAATCTCAATTAATTTTCTTTTCCGCTACCCTCAGGCTGGATTGCACTGTGCATCCACTATTCAGAATGAGCACAGTTAAAAGGGGAAGCAATAGGGGGAATCGACTTCCGCTTTCGGGAGCCGACGATCGACCGATTTAGGATTTATGGATTTCGAACATATGAATGGATAGCTGACTTGGGAAGCGCTGATTTCAAATATGTTGCTTAAAATGTACGGTAACTTTGAAGATTGTTATCAGCTCATCTGGCAAAAAGGAGGGGGGGGAAGGCTATTGAGATTTCAATGGTTTTTCATTCAGAATAGAGGTTCTTGAAGTTTCAAACACATTGGCGAAGAGCTCAAACGCTGATGACTATAGTATAGTCAATTTTTTTTCTAGGTTAAATATGAAGGCGGGTATATTAATGCAGCAAAAAGGAATTTATTGTTTTTTCCGGCACAGCAACAAGCTTATTGCGCTTTGCGACGCACGAAAACTTTGATTTTTTTCATATTCATAAGCATCGGATACAGAAAGCAGTGCTGGATCCAAATATAACTACGAAAATTATACAAAGTACTGTAGGAAGCTATTGCAATGTGGCACTTCCGACTCGCGTTTATTCGCCCTACGGCGCCAGAAAATTGAGATTTTTTAATCGAACAGACTCTCACTTGCATCAGACAGTGCTGGTTTGGAATTTTCAAGCCAATTTTCAAGGGGAGGTAAGGGGGATAGATGGGGGAGGGGAAAGGAGAGAGGGGGGGGGGGGGGTCGTACGGATGGGTACCTTCAAGGGGGGGGGGGGTCGTAGATGAGGGTCCAGGATCGCATCAACACGCTTGACCCTGGTTGAAAGTTAAAATTTACCAAATAAATGAGTGATTGATTAGTGAATAGTTGGATATTTATATATCATACAAAATGCCGCTAAATGAAGCTGTAGCTTCAGAGCAATATACAAAATACTTCTTCTTTGGTTCAAGATTACATTCAGGTAATTGTTGTTCTAAATTGTCAAAGTAAACACTGAAATAAGATATACTTTACTGAGGATATAGATTATGCACCGCTAACAAGGGAAGGTATTTGACTCGAAGTGGACTTTCGCAATGAGATGGATATTATTCAAAAGGTCTTTGAGCTCTGACTTTAGAGTAACCTTTCATGTCTGCTTATCGACTTATTGAATAAAGTTAGAGGCATTTTTCCGCTTCCAAATTGTATGGTCAGTACTGTCTATACAACGTAAGTTTGTAGTAAAGCGACGTTTCTTCAAACATGCCTGAATGTCTGAGGTATATTTATTGCGCATAAATTTAATGTGAATAGGTTTGAAGCTATTCTGCTATCTTAGTTCTGCAGAGAAAAATTCAGAGTCATTTGGAGCTGAGCAAATGCCTGTAACTTTGTTCATGAATCGATAAACAGATGAGGAAGGCATATTCTGATTAGGATCTAATAAGAGCGGTCACTTATTACGGTGTACACCTTGCTGCGGTAGGCCGCTTTGAGTTAAATGCCTTCCCTGTTGAGCATGATCAATTCCATCAACAGTACATTTTGAGTATATATGAATTTGCCTTGAAGAAGTGGTAAACGTATTTGTTCTGCATTCAGCCTATAATTATAAGCGTCAGACGGGGAGACAAAAACGCCATGAAGACTTACCTATAAAGCTCTCTTCTTTTTATGTTTTTTTGAGCTGTGCTTACTCCTATGCTTCTTCTCCTTTTTGTGATGTCTTTTTGGCTTTCTCGACTTTGATTCTCCCGGCTCTTGCACTACCACAACTATCACGGCGGAATTTCCCGGTGGTCCTGGTGGTCCTGGTGGTCCTGGTCGGCCGCGTTTTCCAGGGACTCCTCTAGGTCCTTGCGGTCCTTGAGGTCCTGGAACTCCTGGGGGTCCTGGCGGTGCTGGCGGTCCTGCCGGACTTGGTAGTTCTGCCGGACTTGGTGGTTCTGCCGGACTTGGTGTTTCTTCTGGGCTCTCACCTTCCTTGCTTTCTTCATTACTACTTTCTTCATTCTGAAAGAGTGTTATCCTCCGATCCAAAGAGCATTTCTAGTAATATCTATAGTAAGTCTGTGTTCTCATAACGACTAGATATTATTCAAAAAATAGTATTTCTTTTTTCTGTTACACTACGCCTTTGCCCTACAAACATTGAATGGAATAGCTGGTCGATGTAAACCGGAAGTTAACGTTTTTCTTTTCTATGTCTTATTTCGTTAATCAAAAGGTTTTGAATGTGTTTGGATTCGTAATCATTCAACCACATGAGCTAGATAATGTGCTAATAAACTGTACATTTACACCTCACATAATCGAGCGAAACATACCGAATTTGGTCCCTCCCCTTCTTCTTTTGGTCCTTCATCTTCTATTTTTTCTTCACTCTCCTCGCCTATCTGAAAGTGCATGATCATTACAAGTGCTCAGCGGTAAGGCATACAGTCGAGTAGATCTTCCCCTTAATATAGTGTACTTTCGGTGCCGAGAAAAAGCGGTAAAATCTGAACTTGAACAAATAGCTATGCCACTGCTCGCGCAAAATGCTGGCGCCCTTTATTACGCGCGATTTTTACCTCATTTTTTCGGCAAGCGCGCTACATTGAGCGGAAAATCTACTCGACTGTAGGTCAATTTGTAAAAGCTGCAACTCACATGTCCAACATTGTCATCGTCATCTTCATCACTGCCATTAGTAACCTAAGTATAACATGCCAGCTTACAAGAGAATGGTCGAAGTGGCTAATCCAGGCAAGCTGTCTACTATACGATGAAGCATTCAACGCTGATCTTAAACCTGTAATCCATATCTGCTAGTGCCTTTGTGGGCGAAGCTATGAGCAGTTTTATTGCGAAAAAATCGTACAAAAAATTGTGAAATTGAGCACATTGTTGCACTTTCAGCTCACTTTTAGGTTTTAAGAATATAAAGTAAACTAGCTGCATTATGGCCCGGCATTGTCGAACATGGCTCCGTACTGCTAAATTTGCGCTTTGCGTGGTATCTTAACAAAATAACGGCCTTTAACGGCTCATAACTTCGCGTACATAGACGCTGAGCACATATGGAATACAGATTCGAAAACAGCGTTTTATGCTGCATCTAATGGTATGCAGCCTGTTTGGATTTGGATTGACCACTTCGATTTCTGACCATTGCATTGTTAGTCGTGAATGTGAGCTCACGATTGATCTCACATGTAATATTTGTCAGATGGTAGTGCTTACATTTAGAAGTACTCCTTCTCCTTGAAGAGGTTCCGTAAAACCCTGGAAATTTTGAGTATTTGTTAACTTACATTTGGGACTGTTTTGGTAATAAATAATTCATATAACTCAGATATAGGAAATGTCGCGATTTGTAGACACATGATTACAGTAGAGCAAAAACGGACTGCTTTCCGTCACTGTGTTCAACAATTGCCCCGGTTCGATATCCCACAAGTTCCAAATTGAGAAAGAAAATTTGATTGGATGAGGAAAGATGTTGCGTAGGTAAGCGTCACTCAATCAACAATGAGTGGCTGATTTTTCAGATATCGTCCCAAACAAACGTTCGACAAGGGAGCAGACCGAAAGAAATCAATTTAGGTTGTGCGGTTCCTAAAATATCGGTTTTCGAAACTGACTTATTGTGCTGTTATGAGCTTAGTAAATGACAGAAAAAAACTTTTTTGTCTTATCTCAGCCTGTTATGCTCTATAGAAGGAAAGTATTAGTACGCTATATCTAGTTGAAACAGAATATGCCTTACCGGCCTGCTGCTATTTGTATAAGGTCCGGGATTCTCGCCTGAATATAGATAATGTCTTATAAGAGAACATAACATACTGGTAAACGTACCTGAGTCATAAGCATAAATAGCCGCTACCAGTAGCACTAACTGAAATAGTTAAGCCTTACTTGATTTGAATGAGAAAAAGGGCAAAAAAGCGTACCGCTGCAAAAAGCGATGACTTCAACATCCCACTGAAGAATTTACATACAACTAAAGCTCTACGGTTTTCGTTACTTTTATATAATAGACATAAAGCTGTTCAATAGAGGCTGGATCAATATAGAAAATATCTAGTAGACTTACCCTTTTGATATACGTTTACAAGACAACTGAACAAATTTGCCATAGCTGAGTACATCGTGTCAAAGACATATTCGTTACAGTTTACCCGAAGGACTACTGTACTGGCAAATAGGTACCAACGAACACTTAAAGCTCAATGCCACAACTTTCTAATTTTTTCCTCCTCTGGCGGTTAGAATTATGTTGATGTTTACGTAGTTGGAAAAATCTAAGATAAATGTCTTGTCATCAGTGGCGTAGCGAGGGGAGAGTTCGCACCCCCCCCCCCTCCGAGAATGGGTTGCGAAATTTTTGGAATTTACTTACATGGGTTATAAAAATGTGCAAGTGACTTGTTTATTCTTGTAAATACTTAAAATAATTCCCAAAATTTTTGAAAAATTCAAATTACCACGCCCCTTTTTTCTACTATCTTGAGATCCTGGGCCTATAAGAATTCTGGGAAGCATCCCAAAAAAAATTTTCGAGGCGCGTGACTAACGCCATGCACCTTCACTCGGAAAATTTTTTTGTCGCCCTCCCCCCCCCCCCGGTCCGAAATCCAGGGACCGCCACTGCTCGTCATCTTTTGTGCAGATGATATAATGCGTACTTCGCACTTTAAAACAAATTTTGTGTGTCAACACTATATGTATCTGATGATAGTACGACAAATGCTTCCTAGATTGTTGCGTCATAGGTATTTAGACTTCAAGGTACAAAAAGGTCAGCTTTAATGCAAAATCTTCTTTTACCAAGCAAAAGTCAGAAGTTATCTTTTCTAAACTGCCAAGCATTAGCTGGTCCAAATCTTGCACTTTGAAGCGGTAAATGGTTTGAAAATCTAAGCAAAGAAGTGATTGTAGAAGTTCAATTGAGCTTAGAACTTCGCCATTTTTAGGTTTCCATTCTTTTGAAAGCAGCCTGCACCAAATCAAAGAAAAGAGGAAGTTTCTGTTAAAGATAGGTGTGCATCTTGTAAGCTACGTTTCCATGTATGCTATCAACCTGGAGCTTTTCACTGACAAGTAGGCAAATTACAAACAGTTTCGATATGATTATAAGGCTTAAAACATTTACTGTAGAGCAGAAATTTAGATCTACCAAAACATTGACATGGGGGGGGGGTCCGTTTGGTCGCAGTGGCCTTTTTACATGGAACTGATACGACTATAAAGAGCATTGAATTGATTCCAAATCTGTCTTCGCTATCTGCCGAGCGGTTCTGGACGAATTATGAGCGTTTTTTATCTAACTTGAGCAATTGAAGGCAATAATCGGAACAAAATTCGTCAGAAATGCTCAAATGGTCCAGCTTTGATTATCAGAGCGCCCCATTCAACCAACCTTCTGAAAACATTCATACTCAACACTGCTCTATTTGAGCGCTAGAAAGACCGTAAATTTTGATTTTATCTATATTGTGCTCATTTTTCGCACCAAGGAATTATTCACAGCTCTGCATGCAGGGGCGCTCGGCAGGTAAAGAAATCAAATTTGAAATCAACATTCGATGCTCTTTAAAGTGGTATAAGACTCTTTGGAAGTCTACTTCAATAATCGGGCCTCCTTTGCGGATAAAATTCTGTCAACCATCTCTAACAAGGATCTGGAGGCTTTTGGTTGTCTTGGCGGCGGCCCAGGAGTTCCCAGGGCCTAGCCTCCTTCCCTTACATAGCACCTCCAAGGAAACTTGGGGGGACTTCTTTCACATCTTCATAGGCTTGAAGCGCAGCTCCGCCTTCTGTCATCTCTGAGTGCGCTCATTCCGAATTGATACGGACAGTAAAAGGTGATTTTTTGCAATTACTTATAATGAGAATTATAGACGAGAGTGAGTTGCAAAATCCTTCTAGTTTCATCAGAACTTCAAGAATTAATGGTGGGAGGTAAATTCGTAAAACCTGAGCTCTTTGGTCAAGAAAGGTATGCTAATGGTTCAACATTCATCAAATCTTTGTGACCTCATTTCTCATCTTTCTATGCATTATTCGACAACATTCAGCAAAATTAACATCTAACAACATTCAAGAGCTCAATCGAATCTTCATTCACATCACTAATACCGTACTCTAATGTGATTGTAAGGCTTTGACTACAATAAATAATAGAACGAGTGAGAAACTCATGGCAAATTTAGTAGCATACTAAAACAGATAAAAACATATATAACAGTAGGACAGATTATCTCGAAATTTGGAAGAAAAGAATCCTCCTGATGACTTGAATCTTTGTCTGATTCACACACCTTCCTTGGATTAGCGAAATCACACTTTTTTCCGTCTGCAGGTCTTTTGTAACCGATATACCCCCGCATACCTGCTGCCTCCCCAATCCGAATGAGTGAGAACAGGAAGAATAACCAGTAATAGTTTTCTTCTCATCCTTTCTAAATTATGCTACTTAAAACATAGTAGGCATGTTTGGAGAGAAATCCTGTAAAATTTCTGTTTAAACAACGAGTCTTAATCAGGTTTTTTTTTCAAATCTTGCACCAAGATCGTATAAGAACACATGATAAAAATTATGTGGTTGTTCCTTTCGTCTTCGTGTTTGCTTAATGTATTGTACACCTACGCGTGAATTTGTGTCATTAAGTGGTCTCAAAATGCGGATTTGCGTAGCATTTCTTGGCTAAATCGCTGATTTCAAACACATAGAACAAGTGATACAACATCAAGCAGTTTATGAAGTAACAATTTTTGTCAAGACGAAATTGCTTGACCACTAAGGCTATCCTGAGCCATCTTTCTTGAAGCTTTGATCATGAAATAAAAATCTCGATTAACAGATATGACAAGCTGATGTGACAGCTGACGTCCTTGCATTTCGATTTATTTCAGTATTGGATGAATCCAACACGTTTCTTAATACCTCTGCTAATACAAGCCCATTAGAAGCCGCTTGGAGGTAAGTCCAGAAAATTTTAGGGCATTTGTTCAAATAAACAGGAATTCAGTCGTACTTTATATTGTAATATTTTGATGAAACGATAATTTTGATACTTTGCAGTCATAATTTTTGACATCTTTTCCTGTCTAAGTGCTGATGGTAAAAACATTCAAGCAAACCCAAACTCTCCTTTCCTTGCGATTACATTTATTGTAGTGTTCACGAGCAAGAAAGTGTCCCAGCAGCGGCCTCATTACCGACGGAGGGCTGTGCGAACTGTCACCTGAGGCACGTCATACAGAGTCAGAAACGCATTGATTGTAGCCTGTGGTTAATGGTCGGGATTGACTTTATGCCAGCAGTCTCAGCATCAGTGCATTTGGCGCGAGATGGTCGACGAACTTTCGCTGAGGGCTTCAACTCCAGAGGACTGGTCCGAGCTGGAACTTGAATTCGAAGATGCAAACGACTTTTTCGAGAATGACACAGGAGATGTGGAACAGGTAAGCCTTTCCGTCTGTTCCGACGACAGACATTTTTTCCCAAATGAAATCTTCATTTACCGCAATATTATTTTTTGGTCGAAAAAGAAGCTAGGGACTTTACTAATAATAGTTTTATGATGTTATGAATGCATACGAGGACATGTGCCCATAGCTTAGAAAACCACAAATTTCAACTATTCTTTGTCATTTCGTGAAATGAGAATAAATTTAGCACCCATTCATCATTTCTTAGCAAATAGTGAGATATTTTGGACACAATTGATTACTTGTACATGTTGCTGCAAATTTATTCACTAGTCCCTTATCTAGGCGAAATCTCAATGCAGGAACATGAGGAAAGCAGAAACCTAGTCTTTGACCGCTAAAAAGTCAACAATGTGCTTATGTGCGCGCGAACACTTTGTCAAACTCATCCCGACAGATGGGGCCCTGGTCTTTGTTCTGAAAACAATGTGATTTCAGAAGTCCATAAGTAGTGCGTTTGCAACAAAATGTAATTTGATTGCTATTTGACGATGGTATCGGAAACTGATCTGGTGTAACATATTTGCGAGATATTTTCGCTGGAAATTATTACTTCTATAGAGTTTGATAAACACTCTTGGGTTTCAACGTTTGAAAATACTTAGCAAACATTGTTATATGATTAATCTGAAAGCAAGAAATACTGCCAGGTAATCCACAGGTCCAAAAGCGTTCTTGCTCTCAAATGACCGTAAATAGACCATTGAACGAGGAATTTTGTCATTTCAGCTAAGCACAAAAGCCAAGATCAAAAGCCGTGCTGAAGGACCTTTGAGTTTGTGACCGACATTCCCCTCAAACATGCTAGCCCTATCTTTGTATCTATGCAATTCTTTTCTAGATGTTGAGTCTTTTAAGGAGTGGGTATTTGGTAGTAAATCATAGTTTAATTGAATGCGCTAATTTGAAAATTTTTGTTTCAAATTTTCGGAAGGGAACACCAGCATCCGTTGACAAGAGAAGCTCGATCTTGAAATAAGGCTCGCTTCTGTTCTATACCCCTTGACTATACATTTATAAAATTTGAGTCAAGGAGAATTCATTTTTCGGTTTGAATCAATCAAAATCATAATCCGAGAATGGGGGTTTGCTGAGTCGATGCCAATGTCTATTCGAACGAGCTTTCCGATAAAGGTTTTGTGATACATTGCAGAAGCAAGAAGAAGTTCCACAAAAGGAAAACCTGCAGAAACCCACTGTCGAGCAGTGCACCCTGGATTACGGCAGAGAGCTAGAACGACAAATCGACAAGATCCAGCAGGAGCCGCGTCCACCTTTCGAGACAGTGAAACATCTTCAGGAAAGACTTGAACGGGAAAATGAGCTGTACAGAAAGCAGTTTGCTTGGCAAATGGAAAACAGTATGTTCTACAAAATTTTACTGATATTATTGCTTAAGAGACTTTTACCATTTCAGTGATTCGCTTTACTACAAACGCACAGTGACAATCACAACGGGATCCAACAATTGATTCATATTCCTAATACAACTATGTATTTCACCTCTTCCTTTTGTGTCTTTTTCAGCTATTTTCCAACAATTATCCTTTTTTTGCTCTTACAATCAACATTAATCACTTTCGTTATCTGTTATTCTATTCCATGTTATTTTGTCAATTATCTTGCTCCTATGATCTTTATATTACTGGTACTATTATAAGTTTGCTGTTATCTTAATGTTATAATATCATAATACTATTATCGTCAGTGATGACGTAATTCGGGGCGTGTTTTTCCCTTATCACATCATCAAGCAAACAAACACGTTGAAGTGTCATAGAGACCAGTGCCGGACCGAGGGGAGGGGGGGGGGGGTGGGCGGGGGGGGGGGGGCGCCCCCTTCCCCCCCCCCCCCCGAGAATGGGTCGCGAAATTTTTGAAACTTACCTATATGGGTTATAAAAATGTGCCAACGACTTGTTTATTTTTGTAAATAATTAAAATATTTTTTAAAAATTTTTTAAAAACTCAAATTAGCCTTATAAAACATTTTTTTCGGGGGCGTGGCTGACGCCACGGTTGGGGGCCCGCAAAAATTTTGAAAAGCACCCCAAAAATTTTTTCGGAGTGCGTGACTTACGCCACGCACCTTCATCTGAAAATTTTTTTTGTCGCGCCCCCCCCCCCCCTCCCCGGTCCGAAATCCTGCGTCCGCCACTGATAGAGACCTATTAGAAGTGAGAAATCTCAAGTTTGTGCTAAACTAACTCAACAAAAAATCACATTTTGAGATTATTTGTGATTTGAGTGCATATGCAGACGAAACTCTAGGCAACTAGGATGATTGAGAGCCGCTAATTTGTACCCTGCGATGAAGTCGAAGGGGCTGACTTTCTACTGGAGTTTTTTGGTAAATATTGAAATGGGATCGAACAAATAACGGCTCAGCCTCCTTGTTGTGCTAACTTACTGTCCGAGACTGAGCTCTCGGTCATGTGAAAAATCCAAAAAAAGGTCTTGAGAAAGGAGAGTGAGTTGTGCTAGACTAAGTAATGTATTACTTCCTATCAAAAAACGCTTGTAAAATGGTTTTCACAGTAGCTGAGTGACGTGCACTCTGAGCTTTGGAAATGGGTTACGGTCCGAGAACTTCGGATTAGTTAAGAATGAATCCTAGGCAAGAAAAGTTAGTACCGTAATGTGGTGGAAAACGTAGTGAGCAGGAGATGGTAGGCTACTGATAGCACATTGATCATTACTTTGTACTTGATTATCAAGGCTTTGTTAATTAGTCTCTCACTGAGTTGACTATATTTTGAGAACCTCGCTACATGCTTACTGCTCAGAACACTGAGAACTCAAAAAAAAACTCTTAACTGTGCTGCAGATCTGAGTACCAAGCGTTCATTAAAATACTTATTGCGAATTGTATTACAGACATAAAACATATAATGGATTTTCAAAAACTGAGGTTAAATGTAATGCACGAGATCGATGACACATGTGGTAGACGATAACCGGTGGGAAACCAATGACATCCATTGCTTTGAGCATTTTCACGTAGCTGGATCCTAAATCTTCCTTCGGGACTGATATGGACTGGCATTTTCCATGATAAGCACTTGCGATGGCTATAAAATAATAAATTTGAATTATACAGGCACTGCCTAGAAGGTTCAACTTGCATCAATTTTACTGCCACCAAACTCTATAGTGGGACAGCAATCTGCGTCTTTTCGCTTTATTTCACTTGTCGCCTCATCCAGGTCCACTCCTTTGGTCTCTATCTGAGCAGGGGTAGAATGGGATCGTTGAATATCCATTAAGGAAAATTTGAAAATAATCTTGTATGTACCTACCAAAAATTTGTACGATACTATCAGATTGACCGTACCCAAGACAAAAACGCTGAAGTATATGGATGGAGGCCAAAAATTGTTCATGTGTGTGAGCTAGAATAGAACATAAACTATTTTACTGCTGTCAATGAGTTTCAGGATTTGGCACAGCTGGTACCGAGTCAAGCTGGATATTTGGGACAAAAAGCAAAGGGGATATCGTTTTGTGGCCGAAAAGACATAAAACCGCGCCTTTTTTCAAGTCGTTTCGTTTTTTTGGGGTTTTTACGTTTAGAGTTTAGGGTCAAAGGGGACTTTTGAAACTTGGCCAGCTCGTGCCGAGCCCTGGTGATGAAAACTCACAATAGGCGCTGATAGTGCACCAATTCGAGCAACCAAAGAACAGCTTCCACTACAGCTAGCTCGACATGATGTTTCTATAGATTCGATGGCACAGAGGAAGCACGCATCCCATGTGTACTCGATAAATACACAACCCACTAAGTTTACAACAAGGATGGCAACTCCCTAAAAATATATTGTTTTGTGAAGAAATTAAGCAAGCTAATGCAGGGAAGTGATATCTTGCAAAAAAAGTGATTTCTGATTTTGTAAACTCAAAAGAGAGACACAAGGGAGCGAGCGAAAGCGAAAATCAGTGGCGGATGTTTTCGCTCGCTACTTTTTGATTTCCGGAAGTCCGCTCGCTGATTTTTTTGAACCCTGGCAGATTATGCATAAAACAGTAGAAAGCTTCGAAAAGCGGCAAGTGGTGCTTCAGAGATTTTCGAGCGGATTGCGATGCTCTAATTTCGCTGAAAGGTACGCATTCTGTCACCTTATCCCGTTTCAAAATTACGGATGTTGAGATGAGCAAAAATTATTTAAATTAAGCTCGTAAAAATTAAGATTCAATTAGAATTTAGAAAATGTAGAGCATTAATTTGCAGTGTAAATTAGCTCTGAAGTGATATCATTCAAAAAGTAATGTGGAAAACTGAGTTTGAATTGAATTATATCCTTTACAATATGCATAAAATTGGGAAAGGGTGATAAGAGAAGCTAACGAAAAGGTTTCTCAAAAGTTTACGCTGCTAACTGTTGTCTTCTTATCTCAGAAACTTCCCCTGAAATACGGGAAAAGTCAAACGTTAAAAAGTATGGAAGTTCAAAATATACACAAAGGCAAAACCAGCGTCATATAACCATACCAGATATTTAAAGATGGGGAAAAATTTTTGTGGAGCAGCGCATTACACATCTTCGTGAATTCTGCACAAAGTTTTGCGAACATAAGACTTGTTCTTGGAGAGATCAACTCACTCTGTATTCCTGCATAACGAGGATGCTGAGAATTAGAAAACAAACGCAGACTACGCTCTGTGCACCTTGATGAAGTTTCCTGTGACTGAACGATGGATACCATGCGTCAACCGCGAGCAGGATCTGAAGACAGTGGTTAACTCATATGTTTTTGCGAATCATCTATACTATAGAACGCAATCAAGTTAATAATCATGATTTTTTGTCTGAATTGTATGTACAAAAAAAACACGAATAAAACAGGACTATGACTATGGCAAATTATCTATTGCTCACAAAATACTCACCCATTTTGACATGATGATCAATATCGAAAATAGGAACTGGTTAACAAAGAGGTTTCCGAATATGGTATTAGAGTTGAGGTCATTTCCATAAGCACAGAATGACGTAACATACCACATTACCCATAAAACACTGAGACGTCGAAAAAGTCCTGGGGTTTTCACCATTTCCCAAAAACCCTGGAATACAAGCCCCGAGTGAACAGATCACCAAAATTGTTAAGTTGTGACTTTGATAGATTCAGGCTAGTAGTTCATGATATAAGGTGTGCTCTAGCCACGAATTATTTTCTTACGAAGCAGGTCTTGCGACAGAAATCGAAAACCCATAGTAAAGAATTGCGCCTTAGACACAAATATTTGCGCTTACAACTGGACAGCTTTTGCAAGCAATGAAAGAAAGATTCATTAGCCGTTTTTAATCTTGGCATGTCTTAATTATTGCAACAATTGCTAATTGTACTGCTTTGCATTTTTTCGGTTACTTCCGATTCCTCAGATTTTCACTCATTTTCCAACAAAAAACACACAAACACACAAATGACTAGAGTGCGTCCTGCCGCTACTAGCTAAACAGAAATAACTTTTTTCGCGCACTAATGTGTATCACCAAAAGTGCATATACCCAACCACATTTTCTCCCCTCTGGCCGTAGTGTAGGACTCATACCTTAGAGTGGTCGATAACCTTGTGTTCGACAGGTACATACTCAACTCCTGCGAACTGTGCTATGTACCGTTCGGCTTCACGCATCTCTTCGAGCCGGTCCTGGAGTGATGGGCATTGTGAGATTCAATCTTTTCATCGTTATGTAGTACCTTACTATGCAACCAAGTTGGACTTTCTGGTAAGACGAATATAATGAGCAATATACCCGGAATTAAGAGTAGAGCACAAGCAGTACTGGCGGATCTCCAATCAGGAAGCAGCATACAAATCAGCGTCAAGACCATACGAGCAACGCCCTAATACGTACTTTACCAATGAGTAGAGAAAAGGTTTATGTCTTACCCAGTTGAACACTCCGCGCATGAACATGCGTTGATGAGGAAGAAGCAGTTCGGTAACATAAGTAGCAAGTGTGACACTGGCACCACCAACAAAAAATCCCACAAAAAAGTGCAGCGAGTGCAAAACTTGCCAGGACGGGGAAAATCCTTAATGTTGAGTACGAAAATGATTTTTGCTGATATTTCACAAGTTTGGCTATTGGCATTCTTTCACATCAGATTGAGGCTTGTTCTTAGGATTCTCTATCCGTCAATTCTTCGAAAATATAGTTCAAAGTGCTGCTATTTTCTGTTAAGTTTAACTTGGAAAGACTATCCACTAGATATATTGATTTTCATGAATCACTGAAGCCATGATCTCAGATGTTAACAGCTACCTGCTGAGAGATTTGTAAGAAATCCAGCTATCAATGTTCCTAGGGACACCGGTTTCCTTCCAAAGGTATCTGCCAGAGTGCCAAATAGCAAGGTTCCTTGAAATAAAAGTGATAAAAGATATCAAAATTTCGAGCTTTTGAATCAACCAAAAAGCACTCCGAAGAATTGGATCTGTGAAAAAGCCGACATCAGGTAAGTGTTTTCGTTGCAGATCCATCCAAATCTGAAGCTGATTTTTACTGCGGTTTGCAAGCAATCAAAGTCAAACTTACTCCACAGCTGCCGATTGAAAGTAATCTTCATGAATTGTCAAATTTTCACATAATCTATATACTTCACAGTCTCGCGTAATTGGTCCATCTCCTGCAAAAAGGAACCTCTAACGTGTGTGGTATGTATGTTCTAGACATAAGATAAAAACAAACCACACTTCCACTTTGGAGAATAATTAGAAAAGATAGCAAAAATCATCTGGGTAGCAAAAAATATTGCAACAAGCCAGGTAAATAAGACAACCAAGTGAAACCGATTGATATCGTAGATGGACATTGTATTAGAATGTGTCTGGAGACTCGGATAATACTGCACCTAAAATTTGGATTTTTTGAATTTTTTTTGAAAGATTTGGATAAAACAGGTGATCAAGGTGTCAACGCAGCAATTACGCATTGATACGTTATCAGGAAAAGCACATTAGATCAAAGGCAAGGTATTCTTTAGCGTTGTACTGATGAGGGAACATTTTGTGACTTTTGCTCTCATCATAAGCGAAATAAGGACAAATATGGATTTTTGAGAGCTTTAAGGAGTTGCACACTTAGAGAGAAGAAATTTCTGGAAGAATAGGAAAATGCAGAAAAAAGGGTGGACTGAAACATAATCGTAATGCCATATATTGCAGCACTGATCTCAATTCTACCCTGTTACGACAGATCTGAAGAAAATTATTATATTTTCGGACCATGTCGATTTGTAAATAATTTGAGTTTTTCTTATTCATGGTGCCGAAATTACTTTTCGCCCAAAGTGCCTTAATTTTATGTCATCTAAGCATTTGAGTACAGAACGCATTTGAAGTTTATGACCCCCCTCCCCCTATGTAGAGCAGTATACATGTGAAAGGCTGATTTTGGACTCATGTTAGGCGTTTTGACATAGAATTTGCGCTTTTCTTTAGTAAGCGTGTTCGACTAAATTAAAGAAAAAGTATGCAAAGTCGGCGGAACCGGTAAGATGAGAAATTCTAACCGTGAAATAGCGGATCTTTTTTTAAGCTGAAGTAAAAAAGACTCGAGCACTGATCTTTCATATTGAACTCGCTTGAAATACTCGTATTTGCCACGTATAAATTACGTTGAGATGTCTGACGAAAGGGGAGTCCAACCTAGAATGAGAGATATGCTCTATGATCCAGATTTCAGTCTACTAGACTCGAGCTGCTGAAAAAATCAGTATCTTACACGACGGGCAGCCACAAAGCAGCTATGATGAAAAATTCATCGAATTAGCAAATCTTTTCTCAGGATCCGACGAAATATGTAGAAGAAGATGATCTGAAACGAATAAGCGAGCTTTACCAAGCAAGTCCTCTTGTTTCAGAATCTGTATCGGACATCAAAAATTACGCATAAGAATACACTTGCTAGAAGAGAAAACTGAAAATGATGTTGGAGTGAAAATTCAGTCTACTTCCACAGAACTGAATATTGGTTAATAAAGTGAATATTTTTCTTGAATCAAGTGCAAGTTTGCGATGGGCGGCTCGAAAAGTCTTTGACGCAGCTTGATTCATTGCGTTAATGAGCTATTGAGTCCACATGAACTGCGGACCACATATTCAAAGTACAGTATATCATGTAATATCTCTCATATGAAATATAGAATGCTAACCTAGAAAATTCGGAATCGTGCCAAATTCGCGCAGAAAGCAGAATACGGAGGCCAAGAGCCTGCCAGACTACCCAGGAAGAAGTAAATGTTTGGTTCTTGACCGACGACATGTGTTCGTCTCGTAACTGAGAAGTTCCCATCTGTGAAGCGGAGCAAATGTGTCAAGTAACAAAGCCGTATGCATACAGCCAGACTTGTTTTTGTTTACGAGGCATCGATTTAGCTGTACAATTTTTGGTCTTGTAGAAGGGGTGGCTGGCCACACACGTTTGCGCCAATATGCTTCACCTGATTAGTACCTAGTCTACAAAAGGCCATAGGAGGTTGATTCGGTACATCTGCGTTGATTCGGTCTTCTAATGTGGCCTATAGATGGAAAAAATGGACCTGGAATCCGCGAAAGTGCTCTGAAGCCACAACCGCCCTATCAAGCTCCGCCCACCCATTATTGAAAGTCGTCTGCACCATCAAAATAGGGACTTCCAGGAATCGGTTTTTTGGGGGTTTTGCACATTTTGCATTTCATAACTGTAATCAGGGCCGCGTAAAGGCCTCCGAATAACAAAAACATGAAGACGAAGATTTAGGTGGATGCTGCCTTCAAGAGTGTAAGGGATGCCTAGGTAATCCGCAGCTGTTGTTTCTTGATCATCATCTGTGACAAAATCCCATCTCTCCAAAATAAAGTAACATAGCCATTTACCATTTATTAGTTTATTATTATTATTTATTATTTACTGTCATTTTATTTATTGGTACTTTTTTATTGCAGTCGAAGTATGCAACTATTTCTCATTCTTTGTCAAGAATCCGGTTAAGCAATATTTGACGTTGCACCTTTGATCTTCGCTTTCTATAATAAGGCTGAAGCGCTGAGAAGGATGAGGTAAACTTCCAAGCCAGCTGCTTCAATTTTTTTTTTCACGAACTGATTCCCGAAGTAGTTGGGATACGGGGTGAGGTAATTTGGTCATTAAATTTGAAACTTATCTTGGAGTTTGTGTGAACTTAACGTTTGGTCAACTTGAGGTCATAGCAATCAACCTTACGACTTATCCGCACTTTTAAAAAATGTGCAGCGTTCGCAGTGTTTTATTGCAGTCGCATTAGAACCAGCTGTTCGAAAGTGTGATAGCATCAGTGCAATCTGTGGATTCATTGAGATAAGAGGTTATCGAAGAATTTGGTTGCAAACTGTGTCAATGTGAAATTGCAGTTATAAGGAAATCACGAACAAGCACTGTTAGTTTTTGCTTTTATGTATGAATGTCACAGGTTCCATTCATGCAATATCTGCTTGAATAGACAGAAAATAAAGCGCAATTCCATAACGTAGCAGTTCAAATACAATTGTAATGGATGCAGTGTAGGAAGAGTATATAAGACTGCAATTGCCAGCGCAGTTCCAATTCATTCGTAACAATTCGTACTCTTTACATTCCATTGAGAAACAGTTGATTTTAAGATCATAGCCTTTGAAAGAAGAGCACAATGATACCAGGTTCTTTCATAGATGCAAGAGGCCTGAAGCGACTCAGAGAGAATCCAGTATTTGAGCTTATCAATTCCACCCAGTCTGGTGAGAGGTTGAGAAATAGAGCGAAAGAATCTTTCCTTTGTTTGATGTTGATTATTGAAAACAAAGAGTTCTGCGGTCAATGTTTGAGTTATAAAAATTATGCCAATATTTATGTAAAGGACCAGCAAGCACTAACTTGAAACAGCTCTTTCGCAGTCACAAACATTTTCTTGCTACTAAATGTTGAGAACAATTGGCACGTCATTGCATAATATTACAATCAAAAACTTTGAGTTTATGAACTAGCAAAAAAGTAATTGGTGCAAGTAGTCAAGCATAGATCATCCAAATGCAAATAAATGTCACTTGGCAGAAAGATCGATTTTTCGTACGTAACCCTCAGGTCATCACATTGCGTTATTTGAGATCCTGTTTGCCAGTCACCACAATGTTTATAAGGGATGGCCAACGCGGGCATAGTAAACAGGAGTCAGAGTTTAGTGAGGTTTTAGTCTTAGGTTGTGCTTTACTAGAACTGAGGAATCATTAAAAACTAATCAACCAACCCATTGGATCTTTATGCGACTGAAGCTTGTTGTGATTTTCATATTCATTGAAAATGTACAATTAGCGCTTTAAGCGATGTGACATTCGGGTAGTAAAGGTGAGTCAGACAGGAAGAGCCTTTTGTTCCATTGATGCGTATGCAGTTTACGGTCTCACCATTTTTGCTTTAGGCCAAAAACAAGATTTTGGTGCTCACTTCTAGCTCGAGAAATATCACTTTTGCGATCCTTTTGTCTCTTCTTAAAGAAAGAAACTTATCAAATCTTGCAATATAAAAAAGCGTTATAAAGAGCTTGAACTTTCCGAAAAGTCATATCACTTGCACAAGATGGAGGTACTGCTTTGCAAATTCAGGAGATGCCCGAGAAAGTTTGCCCAATTCTTTGAACCACCGCTAGGTGGTGACAGAAGAGGAGCAGCAGGCTGCAACCAAAACGATGGCGAAACTCATTTATACAGAACATATGCGTCGACCAAAAGCCACGCGGGTTCCTGATGTTCCTGATTATTTTATTAGATTGGCGCACCATAAAATACCAAATATTTTGCAATGAACCATTCAATGGCTTTATTAGGCTTCCCTTCTTTTTTCCTTAGTTTTTCGTGTAGTTTTGAGTGCTCACACTAAGAACTTCCTAGAACTTACATAAAACTCATTTCAATTCATTTCATTCAATTCTGGTTTTTTTCAAAATAATGTGGATGTTTTTCTCTTGTTTGAGATTATTTCCGAGCTTTCTAGTTTACTATGTAGTTCACTGGCAATAGGCCAAATGACTTTGATAACGTGCGATTTCATCAGATTTCCATAAATTCTCCGCTGGAGCAGTATGCTTAACTTCTTTACAACGAACAAATATCGCTACTGAAAAAAAAACAATCTTGAAAACCCCAAAATATTTGGTGCAATAACTGTGCCAAAACGTTTTTCCTGCTCTTTCAGTATTTGTCAAAGTAGAACTTGTAGGGTAAGAAGAGGAGAACGAGTGACTGACGAGCAACTGCCTGAATTGAAGATTACAAAGGAAAAAAAGATGAGAAATGCAGAAGAGGTCAAAGGACAAGGATGGCTGCGCTGCGAAATCCCTGCGCGCTTAGCGTATTGTAAAGCTGGAAAAGCTTCAAAAAGGCACGCCCGCGGTGGTGTAAATGCACGAAACGGGGAGGTCGTCAACGAATATTCTTTAAGCTGCGTTTCACCGTCGGCGAATCGGCTGCATACTACAGTGCTGACCATAATTATATAGCCACCCTAGAAATGTCGTAATTTTCGTTCTTGTCAATGAATCTGTCCGAAACTTTGCTGTATTGTGCGCACGTCAACCTACCATGACTCCTCAAAACGACTTCCACTCTTGTTGAGTTTGAACGGAGAAAAACGTAAAAATTCGAAAAAGCCCTCATTGAAAGCTGAACAAAATTATATAGCCACCTGGTTTTTCTAATCACCATCGCATTCGTTGACTCTCAAATTTTTTGTACGATAATACCCCAA